GCAAACAAGCCCCAAGTGACCCTGCTGCTGCTGCTGCTGCTGCTGCTGCTCGGCTGCAGCTGCTCGGCTGCTGCTGCTCGGCTGCTGCTGCTCGGCTGTAGCTGCTCCTGCTGCTGCTTTTGCTGCTGCTCCTTGCACTGGAATAAAGGAACTCGCTAAAACATATATTTTAAATACATTTCAATTCAATGTATATTTAAAAAAGGCAAATAACAGAGACATAAATGCAGCAGCAGCAGCAGCAGCAGCAACAGCAACAGCAGCAGCAAAAAGCTGCTCCCTATACACCGCAACGCCGTGCATAGTACGATCAAAGGCCCCTTACGCAGTTTATATTCTTATATAGACATAAAAAATATTTTTATATTTTATTTTGCATTTAAAAACAATTAAATAAATATTTTTAATAGAGCCTAACCCCCTTACATGCTCCCGGTGTACGTACACTGAGACTAGCGCAGCACGGAGAAGGCTACTGCAGCAGCAACAGCAGCAGCAGCAGCAGCATAAAGAAAGAGATTAAAAGAAAACATTTTATATATATCTACTAGCAGCTGTTAACAAGAAGAGACAGGTCTGTAAGAGGCGGCTGCGGGCGTGTTGCGGTGTATATATACGCCACAGGGAGACTAAGTATTTAATTTAATTGTATATACATCTCTATTATTATTCTGCATTAACTCTTCTAACGAAGAAGACGCAGAAAACAAACAGCAGCAGCAATAGCAGCGAAGCAAGTAGCCTTCTCTGCTGCTGTGATATATTATTATATTAAAATATTTTGCTGTGCAAATAGTAAAGAGTTTCTCTTTATATATTTAATAATATTGAATTGTATAGGCTAGAGAAAGAAACAGTGTATAGGGAGCTGCGGTGTATAGGCAGCTGGGGTGTATGCATGATGGGTTGATAAGGGGTTTGCTGCAGCAGCAGAATATTCTTTTTGTTTTCTCGAAATGCCTTTTATCTATTCGCCTGACGCATCTACCTCCAAACGCCCAGGCTTTGCTGCAAAGCTTGCGCTGCATGCAGTAGCAGCAGCAACAGCAACAGCAGCAGCAGCAACAGCAGCAGCAGCAGCAGCAGCTTCCTGTCTGCCTCTGCTGCGCCGCTCCAAGCACTCCCAAAGCCCGCGACAATACCCCCCAAATGCACAAAAAGAAGAAGAAGAAATAATATGTCTTTCTGCAAGAGAAACGAAACAAGGAGAGCCTACAAAGAAGAAGCAGCAGCAAACAAAGCAGCAGCCCGACAACCAGCAACGTGCAGCAGCAACAGGAGCAGCAGCAGAAGCAGCTGCAGCGGATTCATCTGCTACTGCGAAACTAAAAGAAGAAACAGCAAAAGATGCAGCAACAGCTGCAGCAACAGATGCAGCAGCAACAGATGCAGCAGCAATAGCTGCAGCAATAGGTGCAGCAGCAATAGCTGCAGCAACAGATGCAGCAGCAATAGCTGCAGCAACAGATGCAGCAGCAACAGCTGCAGCAACAGATACAGCAGCAACAGCTGCAGCAGCAACAGCTGCAGCAGCAACCGATGCAGCAGCAACCGATGCAGCAGCGACCGATGCAGCAGCAACCGATGCAGCAGCAACCGATGCAGCAGCGGCCGATGCAGCAGCAACCGATGCAGCAGCAACAGATGCAGCAGCTGGGGTGTATATACGGTGTGAGTCTGCCGTCATAGACAAGACAGTGCAGCAAACCCCTACAACTCACGCTGCTGCTGCTTCTTCCTTGTCTGAGAAGCAGCTGAAGCAGAAACAAAAAGAAGTGCTGCAATACATTGCAAAGCTGCCTGCTAAACTTGTTGCTGCACAAAGAGCAGCAGCAACGCTGCTGCAGCTGCTGCTGCAGCGAGCGCAGGAAGCAGCTCGGGTCAAGATAGCAGCAGCAGCAGCAACAGCAGCAAACTAATGCACTTCACCTCTTCTATCCACCTAAAAACAAGCAAAAGAAACAAAAGAAACAAATACGGTGCTGATGAAGTGAAGGAGATGTGCTGCTAAAGCATCAGCTGCTTGCTGCGGCTGTACTTGCATGCAGCAGTAACAGCACTTGCATGCAGCAGCAGCTGCACTTGTATGCAGCAGCAGCAGCAGCACTTGCACCCAGCAGTACCAGCAACACTTGCATGCAGCAGCAGTACCACTTGCATGTAAGTGCTGCTGCTTCAGCTATTGTGTGTATAAACAAAACCTCTATGAGTGCTGTCCTGTAATTAATTATCAAAGAAGAGAGCCGAGACAAATTAATATTTTTAAGTTCTTTCGACAGCAAATAACAATGTCCGGGAATAACTCAAAAACATACTCCTCGAGAAAAGTTAGGGCTGCAGCGTTAATACATATAAATATATGCAGAGAGAGAGTAGAGAGAGATAATACATGTATATATGTATATATATATATATATATATATTTGTATATAGCTCTACATACAAAATGTACACTATATTATACATATACGTATATATATATATATATATATATATATAT